ATTTTATTCAACAATGTCAAATGAAATCATCTCTGCCAAATTATATTTTAGAATGGATACCTTTTGAGCAATTTGAAAAAATAACAAAGTTGGCAGAAGGTGGATTTAGTTCAATTTATAAAGTTACATGGACAAGAGGAAAAATAAATGATTATGATGAAAATAAAAAGAAGTTTGGTTATCATGAAAGGCAGAGAGTAGTATTAAAAAGTTTAAATAATTCAAGTAACCCAGGAAAAGGCTTTTTTGATGAGGTTGGTAGTTGTCATTTAAAATAAAAATAAACAACTCTGTATTATATAATACTAATTGATTTTATATTTATTTCAGGCAATGAATTATTGTAAAATTAAATCATCAAAAATTGTTAATTGCTATGGTATAACTAAATTCCCAGATAATGGAAACTATGCAATTGTTTTAGCTTATGCAAATGAAGGAAATTTAAGGGATTATTTACAAAAAAATCATTTAAATTTAAAATTAAAAGACAGAATTAAAATCATTCATAGTTTATGTTATGCATTAGATGATATACATGAAAAAGATTTAATTCATTGTGATTTGCATAGTGATAATCTATTAGTAGGTGAAGGTGATTGTTATATTACAGATTTAGGATTATGTGGACCAGTTGATGAAATGTTATCAAATAAAGTCTATGGAATTGTATCATACATTGCACCTGAATTACTTAGAGGCAAAATTAATGCAAAGAATACAAAAGAATCTGATATCTATAGTGTTGGAATGTTAATGTGGGAAATATTTGCAGGTCATCCACCATTTGACAATAGAGCTCATAATCATTGTTTGATTTTTGATATATGTGCGGAAGGTTTACGACCATCAATATTACCTGGAATGCCTGATGATTATTTGCAGATAATGCAGAAGTGTTGGGATGTGGATCCATCAAAAAGACCAACTATTGAAGAACTTCGGAAATTTGCTGACAATAAACTAAAAGAAATTCTTGATAATAATGATAATAGTAATATCAGTAGTATTAGTGATTCGCAACAAGTACATGAATCGCATCCAGGTGCATATCATAAAAGTAGAATATTAGATGAAGAGATTGCTAAATCAAAAAGCTTGAAGATTTATACAAGTAATGATAGTTCATTAAATAGTCTTGATTTTAACTCTTTTCTCTTAAATGTTGAAGGTGAATAAATTTTTATTATTAATTAATTAATTGGAACTTACTGTAACAGTTCTTTTTCGTTAATTGCGAATATGAAATGTGGCACAGTAATACAAAATTTATTTCGCGTAACGCGTTAAATTAAAACGAAACGTTACAACTTTATTTATATATATTATCGTCATATTACTTATTATTTATATTATGTATTATTTATATTACTTATATTATTATTATTTATATTATTTTCTTATGTATATGAGTTACAAATTAAGTGCTGCGGCTTTCCGGGAAGTTCTAAGATATTATTTTTATTTATTTAATTGTAATATTATATTATGCATTTTTGTATAAAAAGATAAGCTTTCCGTAATTAATAAAGAATAACTTGTATAACTTGTATTTTTTTAATAATTAAAACATTATATAGTATTTTGACGTAAGGAAAAAGGGTTTCCTTACACTTACTATCCATTAATAATTACTAAAAATTATTTTTTAAACAATTAAAAGAAAGAATTAATGAATAACTAATCTAATCTCCTAAATTATTCATTATAATTATTGTCTTTTTATTTTATCTTTTATTTTTATTTCTTAAAGTTAAATTATTTTAAGTAATAAACTTTCACAGTTTTTTGATTCTCGTTAATGGTGATATTACGAGGTATCATTTCAGTTAATACCGATTATTTACAAGTATGCTTAACTTTTGGCTATTCTTGCCAGTTCATTGCAGGCAACTCGTAATAATTCGATTAATTAGTTACAAATTTATTTTGGTTCCTTCTTTCTTGCGCCTAGACAAATTTGTGGGAACACTTAATGGTACCAGATAAATAAATATGGCCTTTCATTTATTGGACGATTGCAAACTTGCTTTGGTTTACTTGCAAAACAACTTAAGTAGCTTTGTTTCTTACTTGTGTTAAATCAAATATTTTTTTTAAATAACAAATGAATTAATTCCAAATTGATTTCTAATGACGATGCTAATACTAAATCAATAATGGATTAATTTCTTGCTGGTATTTTTAGTAGCAGGAGAGAATCTTTTTCAAAAAAAAGCTTAATTAATTTCACATTTTTGGAAAAGGCTCAATTTTAATCAAATGATTTCTTTTTCATTTTTTTTTTTACAACCTTTGAACGGTTTAAAAAAAATTGGAAGAGTGATCATAATCATGATCAAAATCAATTTATACAACGCAATCAATTTTGTGAAACGAAAATTTCCAAAGAGAGATAGTATCGTTGCCAATTCTTTCTATATAAATATTACCAAAATATTGCCGATCTTTTCTAAATTGTTACAAAGTATGTTTAAAAAATCAATCTTTACGTGATATCTCGAGGACAAATTTTTAACCAATCAAATGTGATCGACAAGAATGTTCACAACTCGTGACACATGATTTATTTATTTTCATGAGACAAAGAATTATGACAATCATTATTATTATAAAAAGAATAATCCTCTGTATATTTTCTTTTTCTTTATTAAAATACTAGTCATAATAATCACAAATTTTCTCCTAAACAATAAAATGAATTGATTTATTTAGTTAAAAAAATGGCAATTCAAATTAAAATGTTCACTTTGTTGCAGTATGTCCCATTTTAATTAAATATACAAATTAAATAATACAAATTTTAATAAACAAATTTTTTTATATGATTAAGGATTATAATATAATATGTATTTTTTTTTAGCATTTATTGATTGTCTACCATTTTGCCTTGAAAAAAAGTTCTATAAAAATTATTATAAAAGAATTTATCTAGGACATTAGGTTCAACTATTGGCATTGTACTTCTCCATTTATTTTCCTTTGCTCCAGAAATTATCTTTGCTCCTAAACTTTTTAAGACTTTAATATCTTCTGACGCTTCTTCCTTAGAATATGAAGTAAAAACACAAGGTAAATTTTTTTCCAATAAACATTCAATTGTTGGTTTCCAGAGATCAGTATCTTCCTCATGAAGTCCTGTGTTAAATGCTACCCCCAAATTTGGTATAGCATAATCAGATGATCCAACATAATCATGATATAGTATTGATTTCATGGAACATAACCGCTTCCTATTAGAATCAGTACATTTTGGGCAACATGTTAAATCCGTGTTATCCTTATTCATTTGAAGTTCTGTGCCAATCAACACAATATGTAAAATTTTGATGTTTGGTAATACATGCATTATTTCCTCAAAAGTCATTAATGCCACAACTTCTGTAAAATTTGCTCCAATAACATGAATTGATAACTCTTCAAAAGAGATCAATTGATCACGATTATAAAATCTTTCAAATGCTGAAAGAATTGTAAGCGGCATTGAAAGCGAGTTGGTTACAACACGACTATATGAATTCTTATCTGATGAATTTGGTGCATTTCTCCACTGGAGATATTCATTCCAGTTTTTTGGTAATGGCGGAAATTTCCTTTCTTCATCCCAATCTTCCGGTACCCACAAAACACTATCACCATTCAAATAACGGATTTTCTCACATTCTACCATGTTTTGATAAGTTTTACATAATTTAGAATGTTTTTGCTTATACACAGTCCAATGTTCTTTAGAGCAACATAAAACCACTTTACAAGAAGGACAAGCTATTAAAGACTCATTGGTCTCTCTTGTAGAAATAAAACAAACTGAACATTTTGGTTGATTTAACCAAGCATTTCTCTCATAATCATCTAAATCCCTATCAAGTATATCCGATAAAAGTTGCATCTGATAAAGCTTACGTTTATTCCATGATTCCTGCTCTCCATTGCAAGAATACCACGCTTCTTCAACATCACTTAAATCAGATATTGCTTGACAAAAACGTTTATGAAAACTAAAATCAATTTTCTGGCATTCTTTTGAACAATAATAAAACATTCTACAGCGAGTACAACGTAAAAGACCTTTAACACCTGCTTCTTCGCCAGTTTTTCGACAATTATTACAAGCTGTACCTGCTATTTGAAGGAAAGATTTACGTCTTCTCAATTCTTCACTAATACTAACATCTTGCATTTTTTAAAGATTTTGCGTAACGCCAAATATTCAAAAAAAAAAATTCTCGACAAATAGGGATGCTGGCCACAACAAACAGGTTTACTTGTTGACTCGTCGTGTCACATATTTTTGTTGTTAATCAGATCTGCAATTTTTTCTTTTAAGAGTCGTACGGCAAAGGGTTTCCATTTGTTAAATTTGTAGAGAAGAGAGGAAAGAGAAGAGTAGAAGAGAAGAGAGTGCATCTTTCATTCATTTATATTATAAACTTGTGGGAAAAAGTAAACAGGTTTTCATAGATCATAGCTACAATTAATTTTAAATAATTAACACGTATTATTAATAGAAATGATAGAATTCACATAGCTCTCAGATGTCTAATTACTATTATTGTTGTTATTCTACATTCGCCGGATAAGAAAACCCAAATTATGAAATTACTTAAAAAACTAATTGTAGAAAATTAACAATAATAATAAAACATATTTCGGACCTCCTGAACATTTGTTTATGACAAGAAAACATGTTTTTGCGTTAGTTTTTAATGAAAATTCATGCACCTAATAGCTTCGACTTGAGATCTAAATTTATCCGATGATTGATTCTTGATTCAAATGGCTGCTGATACACGAGATCATGATTGTGGCCCATTATACATTATCCTTATCCATCATCACTACAATCAACATGTTCATTACGAAATAATTGGTGAACGAGTACCTACATAAATACATGTTTATTTTTACATAATATGTCTTTTTTACGCTGTGTAGATTGTTGGGGTGTTATTAATATGTATGTAATTGCGGAATGGCAACAATAAAGATCAAAGAGTCCAACCTTTACACTTATCCTTGATTGGTCCCCACAATGATTAATTGACGAGCCGAGAAATGTTAATCAATTTATTATAATACAGGGGAAATTTTATATTAAAGATTGATAAAAAAATATTCTACGTTCCTCATCACACAATAAATATTAAAATCTTTATTTCCATGCAAAATTTAATTGTTTAAAATGATAGTTGAATTTAATTGAACCTTGAAACTTGCCATAAACTGAGGTTGACCAAAAGGCTACCTTTGCACTATTCATAATAAATGGAATGTAAAATCTATTTAAATATAAATTTTTTTTACTCGGTAATAGTAATAATATTGTTGTTGTTATCATTATTCCGTTTACCTTGTTTTCACCTCCAAGTTCCAAATTCTACATCCCCCATTATAAATTGTAAAAAAAATTTATGTGGTGGAACAAAAGCATAATACAACTTTTCATGTAAAGTTATCGGATTGGTTATCTTTGTGTCAATTTTCCCACACTGATCACTAACTATTATTATTAATTTACTATCTATAATTCACTTCATAGACGGGATCATCAATTAATAATGAAAATCGAGATCAGCCAAAAGAAAGGCAAAAATTTACAAGCATGACACCACATGTAAAAAAAAATGACTTTCATGCAATAATAAAATCATTCAAGTCTGTAATACATGATATAATACACATAAGCTAACCCATACAGTAAACTTATCACCAGGAACTTTGAGTCGATTTCCAATGCGTAGTATAAAAGTGTTCATTAGGTAATTATCATATAAATCTTTCAGTATGACAAAATAAAAAATAGAAATTATTTGTCCCCGACTTTCCACCCATTTTTTTAACAAGGTTTTTTCTAATTCCAGTCACATTAATAGGATGACTCTTGCCCACAGTCATCTGGAGGAGCGCGTCAGGTGCAACAATTACATCAATGGATGTAAAGTTCTTTTGAATCAGTTGACAGTACTTGCCCTCCTCGATCTTATTAATGTCATTAAACACCAACTTGGTCTGTTCTGGAATTTCAATTGTAAAACTTGTGAAGTCGGATTCCAAAGAACAAATATTAAATGACCCTCCCTTTGGAAAATTTGATGTGCAATCTGTTTGTGCATTTTTGATTGGAAATGGTTTTCTCAAAAACTGTCGCCAAGACGCAGTAAGTTGAGGGACTAGTGTCTTGCACTGTATTACTGTGGTGCCAATCACCTAAACACATCAAATGCTGCGCCAACCGGTGAAAATTTTTCTATGAAAATCATTCCTTTTATGGAACACGATTTTTAACAATTTTTTAATTCAAATCAATTTCTTTTTTTTTTTTTGTTAAAAATGCCTAAACAGAATAAAAGGAATCAACATTTACAAAAAGCTCATGAAACTAAAAAAATGAAAGAAACCATTAAACCATTACAATGAATATATTGATAAGGAAGTGTTTAGTGAATTAGACCTGGATTAGAAATCGAAGAGTCAATCTATGAATACATTGAATCTGTTTTAGTGGAATTTCACGAGTCACGAGTATCACGTGATACTTTTTATATCGTGAGAATATTCTTTAAATAGAGTAATGATCAGTGGTGAAAAATTTTTTTTAATAGTAAACTCAGCCATTATATAACTCTTTTCATTTTAATAAAATTTAAAAAACACCCTATTACATCTTTCCTTATGTCTTATAGAATAAAACTATAGAGTTTTTTTTTATCTTGCATGGTCATTGAGCTTATACATTTTAAAGTTTAGCCAGTATTCGTCCACTCACCTTCCAAATGGGGTAATAGTACTTTAAAATCTTCAATGCTAGACATGGTTATATATTTGAATTTGCTCGAATAAAATAGCAATAAGTCAAGTATATTTTTTTAGAATGATAATGTTTTGTCGTACAAGATAATCTCATTCACGTATGTAAACCTTCTAATTTCTCCCATGTCGTACATGTTATTAATTAAGAGAAGTAATTACGGAAAACGCCTATGAAACAAATGAAGATACTTTTGGATCAAGGCTCCAATTATCTTATATGAAGGAGAGGATATGGAATAATTAAAAATTTTATGGAAAATAAAACACAAGAATAAGAAGTTAATATCATGATCACAATAACAAAAACAATTTTGGACCTGAAATTTCTTTGTTGCATTATTAGTATCTATTCGAATTCTTAATTGTGACATCACGGAGTAATTGATTGATTAATGTTTTTTTATTTATATATATGTATGTATATAAAATGCATGAATAAATTGTTTCTTTTTTTGAATGACAAATTATGTGTGTGGTGTATGTGTGTGTATATAAGTATGTGTATGTGTGTGTATATAAGTGTGAGTGTGTGAGTGAGTGATATTTTTTAATATTACATTTTAAAGTTTTAAAATAAAAAATAAAATGAATAATGAATTTAAAAAAATGAATTGTACAAAATAATTTTAAATATACATATAAGTATAATTAATCAATAATCCTGAAATCCAATTATCTTTTTTAATTTTTTCATTATTTTTCATTCCATCTATAATATAAATAAAATAACATTATCGTTTCATTCTAATTTTGTTCTTTCATTCAATTTATTACTTCATCATCATATTAAATAAAGTAAAATAAAATAAAAATTAATTTATTGTGCATACCTTTGTGAAACAACAACATTGCCTAAAGGTTCCGATGACATCATCATAGAATTATTATTAGTAGGACTGGTGATTGTGGTAGTAACAGCAGCAACATCATTAGAATTGTTATTGATTGTCATCGTTGTTGCTGATGATGGTGAGTGATGATGTTGATGATGAAGTATTTGAGTATTATGGTGATGATGATGATGTTGTGAAGCAAAATAATCTGTAGAAGATGAAGATGAAGATGGTGGTAGTAATGGTGTAGTTGTGGTACTTGCTACAGGAGATTTTATATGAACATAATGTGTTGCTGGTGAAGTTGTAGTAAAAGCATTAGTAGGAATAGATGAAGATGAAGATGGGGAATTATCATCATACATTCTTCTGCTTCCATTTCGACTTGTGCCACCTCCTACCACATTAATACCGATACCACCAACACCACTTAGCCCCATTCCATTTGAATTATTAATACCCATACCCCAAAATTGTGGCCCATGTGAAGGAGAAATTTCAGATGTGTGAGCGATACCAGTTGCCTCCGATGTTGTCATCAAAGCTTGAGGTTGAATTGGTTGTATAGGAAACGCCTCGAACATTTGACTTTGTGTAGCAATGTTTACTGGGATAAACTGTTGTTGATGTTGATGATGATTTTGATGCTGATGGGTTTGATTGCTTGATGCTAATTCTTGAGTAAAATTAAAATTTTGGTTTATAATATTACTGTTGTTTTTGTTGCTGTTGCTGTTGTTGTTGTTGTTGTTTATTATTATTGGTGATTTGCCTTGAATAATTTGATTTGTTGGATACGACTCATATGTAGATGGCGATGAAGGTACTGTGACTATTGCATGTTGTTGCGGCGATGAAGAGGAAGATATTGGTGATCTTATCATCATTCTATTATCGTTATCAACATTACCATTATAGTTATTATAGTTGTAATTATTGCCACTGTTATTTTTACCAGCACTACTACCACCATTGCTATTAAAATGTTGTTGACTTTGCGAAATCTTTACTGAATAAGTTTGGTTTTTTATAGAATTATTATTATTGTTGTTGTTATTATTATTATTATTATTATTATTATTATTATTATTATTATTATTATTATTATTATTATTATTATTATTATT